AAATGTGTTTTCTATATAAGACCCAATCAACCACTTCACAATTTCACTTTAGATGTCTATTTTCAATGGGCTCCTGTCCGATAATACATTCTAAGAAGTTGTGTTTGGATTATGTACATTAAGTCTCACTGAAGGGGATTTAATGTACTTACATGTAGGCTGATGATAACAAATAAGGTACAATGCTTTTGTCGGGAGTAGTGAAACAATAAGAAAAATAAGGGAAATTTTTCAAAAATACCTGACAGGCAAAGTCAAGAGGAAAACACTGAGGACTTACACTTGGAGCACTGTTCGGGGGTCTCCCACTTCACCCCCATCACCAATTGTCAAAGTATCATAGCCGATCTCAAGGTCACATTCTAAAGCTAACTCAATGAAACACAGAGCATGCTTAAATAGTATAGCTTAAAATATGTTACGGCTAAATTTGAATCTAGATCATCAGATTTAAAAGTATCAGGGGCAGAGTCCAAGATAGCAGCATATGGAGATCCTGAACTCACCTCCTCACACAAGCACACCAAATTCACAACTGTATATGGAACATTTCCCTCTGAAAATAACCTGGACTCTAGAGGAACTGCTGTTTTCCACAACAGAAGATAGAGGGACCACGTCGGACGGAAGGAGAGGCAGAGACCCTCTCCCAAAGAACCCACCCTGACATGGCAGCATACAATAGGGAGGGATCGCACCACTCAGGCATCTCTCCCCGAGGAGCCAGGGTTTGGTGTCCAACATCTGGCACCCCAACACCTGGGACCTGCACCAGAGAGGCAACCCCCAAAACATTTGGCTTAGAAAACAAAGCACAGTACTTTGGAAGACACATTAATCCATGATAAATAATTATTAGTTTTTACTAAAGCATACTCATACATCCATATCGTTTATGCTCTTATGCAAATACCCGTATTTAACTAAATTGTAATTCTTAAGTTAGGAACCTAATATAATGACACATATGTAATAACTTAATCAATAAAGAAATTTTTTAAAAAATTAAAAAAGAATAATGTAATTAAGAATCAATACTGTAAGAAATTACATAAACACTATCCTATATTCAATAAGTCCTTTAGCAAAAATTAATTTATAGTAAAATATAACTCATCAACACATAAAGAAAATGAATGCTTTAGATTACCAATATTACTAGAAAATAAATTTAAAAGGCATACGTTTAATAATTATTATAACTATTTATAACTGTGGTATCATAAAAAGGAATTCTTAAAACAGATGTCATAACCTGGCTTTTCAAAGCTATATAACAACAAATTGTGATTATGACTCTTGAAAAAAGTATTTTATATTTGCAGTGACTAAAGAAATTGTTCAGCCAAGTTTAATACAGAAAATACAAAAAAAACCTTGAATTATACATTTTACATGACTGCAATCTAAAAATGTTTCCCAGTTTACCCTGAGCTAAATATAAATACTCTTATTTAATAACTGCCTGTCAATAGAGATTTAGGTTGTTTCTACTTTTTGCTATTATCGGCAACACGGTTATGAGCAATATTAAACATTTTCTGCTTCAAAAATACAAGTATATCTCTAAGTTATATACTTAGGAGTACAATGTCCAGATAATAAAGGAAAAATTCAACTTTATAACATTGTGCCATGATTTTCCAAAATTATTTTACTAATTTAAATGCTCACAACATGTATACATTCTATTTAATTATTTTTACCAATTTAGAGTATAGAGTATGTAAAAATGATATTTGTTTGGCATTTTCTTCATTAATTATTATGTTGCATGTATTTTCATGTATACGTCATTTATGCTACCTTTTCTGTGACATGACTATTTGTTTTTGGCTAATTTTCACTTGCACAGCTTGTTTGCTTGTTATTGATTGCAAGAATCCTTTATGTCAGTGACTCCCCACAATTTTCCATAATAGCACACGTAAGGAAAGAATAGACACAGTGAGGTGAAGCTGATGAGGCTGCTTACAATGGAAGTTTTTTGCCCCAGATATTGCGAGCTAAGATCAATATTTTAGTTCTACCTGTAACTCATTCATAATGCATCATTCATAATACATCATTGAGCCTGCCTCACCTGTTGAGAAAGATGAGCTTTACTGGTGTATATTCTGGATACAAATACATTACATGTTATGTGTGTTGCAATATGTTCTTTAAGTGTATAATCTGACTTTTCACTTTCTGTGTTAAATATTTTAGTCTAGAAGAAATAATGTTAATGAAGTTAGACTTATTAACCTATAAGGAGCATTTTTGCATTGGCTTATGAGCCAAGGTGGTAAAGATATTTCCTGCAAAACTTTAATCTTTGGGAAATGACTTTCATAGAAAGGATAAAGTAGGTATGTGTAGTGAGCAGGATTATGACCCTCCAAGATCCGCCCCCCCCAACATGTAGACGGCCTGTATAATTACTTCCCCTTTGAATGTAGGCAAAACCTATTAATATGATGGAGAATGAATCCCATAATTGGTTACATTATATGGATAACATAAGGGATGTTATATATTTACAGATGTAATTAAGGTTTTTATTCAGTTGACTTCAAGTTAATCAAAGGGGATAATCCTGGGTGGGCTTGACCCAGTTCAGGGAAGTTCTTTAAAGAAGGTCTAGAAGTGAGAGACAAAATAAATCAGAAGAGATTCTTTCCTACTTGCCTTTGAAGAACACATTGTTGCTGGGAAGAGGTCCAGGTAGCAGGCATAGTGGGTGGCCTTTATAAACTGAGAACCTCAATCGTAAACCCCAGTAACTAAATTCTTCCAACAATCAGGGAGCTTGGTATCACAGTCTCAAATGAGATTGCAGTCCTGGGCAACACCCTGATTTTATTCTGGTGAGACCTTAATAAGAGGATTTGGCTAACGTGTGCCTAAAGTCCTTTCCCATGGAAACTGTAAGATAACGAATTTATTTAGTTTCATGCTGCTAATTTTGGATAATTTGTTATGCAACAACAGAAAGCAAGCACAGCATCTCTTTCAATTTTTCTTTAACTGCAATATGAACAAGAAATTGTCTCTGTAGTTTAATTGAATAAATAGTTCTCCTTTCCCCAGTGATCTGCATGTCAAACTCGGACATACATTAAGATTCTATAAATAGGGTGTTGGTTTTGGGGCTCTAGATTCTATTCTCTTGAACAGTTTATCTATCCCTGAACCAACATAAATTGGCTTAACTCTTTTTTTATACATATGCTGAAATCTTTTCTTGCTGTTGTTTCAATGATATATATCTTTATATTTTCAACTGTTAGTATGTAGAAATGAAATTTATTTTTGCTAAATGACTTCATGTTTAGGCAATTTGATAAGCCTTCCCTATTATTTAAAAATCTTTGTAAAGTATCTTTATTTTTCTACATAACAAGCATGTCTTCTGTAAATAACATTTTAAATCTTGCTTTTAAGCTTCTTAAAAGATTTCTTTTATCTTAATGCCTTGGATTTCTTATATAATTTTCACTAGAACAGGTGATAGTTAACTTCATTAAACTGTCTTTTATTTTAAAAGGTGTATATGTAACGGTTCACCATTAAGAATATTTTTAAGGTAGATAATACTTTATAAACATGAGGAAGTTTGCTTCTCTGGTTTTCCTTGCCGATTTACTCTTAAAATTTACTGGTATCATAAAATAAGTTGACAAATATACACGTTCTTTTATCTTATGGAAGACTTTCCAATACTTTGAAAATAACCAGACACAAAAAGACAAGTATTATATGATTCCCCATATATAAAATATCTAAATAGGTAAATTTGTAGAGATAGAAAATACAAGTGGAAATAGAAGTTAAATTTATAGAGATAGAAGTTACCAGGGTAATTGGTGGTTATTGCTTAATGGTAATAGGTTTTTAGTTTGATGTAGTGAAAAACTATTGACAACAGACATGGGTGATAGTTGCACAACATAGTAAATGTACTTAATGTCAATGAATTGTACACTTAAAATGGTTGAAATTGTTGTTTTCTTTTAAATATTTACCAAAATAAAAGTAGTAAATAAAAATAGAGGACACACATTTATATATTAGAAATAGAAACAAGACAGAAATGCAGGCCCAGCACAGACTAAAAGTGAATGACTATATGACAGTGAATTTGAAAACTTTGTCAGCACTGAATGTTTCTAGGAAAAAAACAACAACAGTAACTTGACTCAATAAACAAACAAACAAACAAACAAATAAAATACGAGGCCTAAACTATGAAATAAACAAGCAGTAAAATTTCAACTACTGCTCCCCAAAAAGAGGCTCAGATGTTTTTACAGGATAGTTTTACTTAGCTTCCAAAAATAGGAGTGGAATTTCTGGGTCATGTATTAATTGTGTGTTTAACTGAGACACTGCCAAACCTTTTCCCGAAGTGCTGCAACATTTTAAATCCCACCAGGAATGCGTGAGGCTTCAAATGTCTCCCCATCAACACCACTTACTTTCTGTTTGTTTTTGTTTGTGTTTTATTACAGCCATCCTAGCAGGTGTGAAGTGGTATCTCTCCTGCTGCTTTTAAGATTCTGATTGTCTTTACCATTCAACAATCTGACTAGATTGTGTCTAGGTAGATATCTCTTTAGAATATCTTGCTTGAATTTAAGCTTTGAGAATCCTGAAGGCCTAAATTGGGTCTAATTTCATTCATTGTCTGCTAACTAGATCCAAGGTTTACTAGCATGCTAGTGTAAATTTAACACCCTTTGTGGGTTTTTAGATAACTGTTAAAGCTTCAAGTTTAACTTCTTTACTTATTGATCTAAGGAGAGGAGGCCCTAATCTGAGAATTCCTTAGACTGATTGCTATCTGCTCCAAGGAAAATGAGCTTTATACTGATTTATTCTCCTTTCATTTCAGCTCACTGTTCATTATATATGTATATATTCTTGTTAACCAGCAATGCTCTAAAGAAAAATATGGTGTTTTTTTTTTCAGTGGGTAGACCTCTCAGAATACTTCATCTGTCATCCTATTAAAAGAAGAAATGCCATGATCCACTTTACTCCAAACATTTCAAAATAGATCCATGAGAGCATTTCATTTAAAATTAAGGAACATCGCTTTTAAAATGGCTTAAAAAGCCTAATAGACTAGTAGTTACAAAATATGTGTCTAATAAATGACTCATTGATTGGATTGCTAATTCTATGCAAATCTTTTGATAGTCATTCTTGTATAATCATGTCCTAAAGAATTTGGACATCCATTTAATGGTAGACTTTACTTTGCCTGAATTGTAACTGAGACTCATGCATGTATATATGCCACAGTGAGAACTCTATCCATTTTAAAGTGATGGGTTAATTACTAAATAATCTATATATTTTCTGATAAGCACTTAACCACTGAGTTGTCACTAAAATTTGAGACAGTTGTAATTATTGAACAGTTTAAATGACACCCAATCACTGAGAAGCTAGAATAGTCTGGTTTGTAAAAAACATGCATTATAATTTAATTCACTGAGGCTTAATTTAAACATTGCTTCTAAAATAGTAGTTTAAAAGTAAAATCTACATATTAAAAAAGAAACAAAAACTATCTTCCCCTCAAATGGTCACATTAATATAAATAAAGCATGCTAATAAAAGTAAAAAATAGTACATTAGATACTCCCAATAGAGAAAATATTATTTAGTAGAATGTATAAAAGTAATTTGGAAAATTTTAAAAAAGAAAAAAACAACACATATACTTTTGTCTGTGCAAGAATAGAAAATGTAACATCAGGAGTGTGATGTGAAATTTTCTACAGATTCTACTGTAATATGGAGTTGACAAAATAGCCAATTTCCATCCCTTTATCTTGGCATAATGTGGAAATAAAGTATAAAGATTTTTAAAAATCAATAAATCATCATCAATATAATATGAATGCTTTCTTTACATGTTTAGTTGGCATTACAGCTGAAATATTTAGTAGAAAAACAGAAAGAACATCCTGTTTATTAGTAAAGAAAGAAATGTCATATATTTTGCCTTATTTGCCTTATTATTAATCACTCGTGAGTAGAAAAAGAGAGCTGCATTTAGCTCAGAGTACTGCCAAAAAACTTGTAATAATAAAATGTAGAAATTACTTATAACTGTCTTGATTTTTAAAAGCAATTACTTCCATTTGTAGGGGTTAATTCCAAATGGCTTATACAGTGCTGCTTATTGAGGGTTATTTAAAACTTTGAAGCTACTAAGGCAGTCAGTTAAGAATAATCGCATGCATTTTCCTTTTGTTAAGTTGTGTGAGTTCCCTATAAATTTTGGAGATTAGGCCCTTATCAGATATGACATTGGCAAATATGTTTTCCCACACAGTGGGTTTTCTCGTTGTTTTGTTGATGGTTTCTTTTGCTGTGCAGAAGCTTTTTATTTTGATGTAGTACCATTTGTTCATTTTCTCTTTAGTTTCAAGTGTCCTAGGAGCTGTATCAGTGAATAAATTGCTTCGGCATATATCTGAGATTTTGTTGCCTTTGGATTCTTCTGGAATTTTTATGGTTTCCTGTCATATATTTAAGTCCTTTATCCATTTTGAGTTTTTTTTGTGTATGGTGTAATTTGGTGGTCTAGTTTCATTTTTTGGCAAGTATCTGTCCAGTTTTCCTAACACCATTTATTGAAGAGACTATCTTGTCTCCATTGTATGCTCTTGCCTCCTTTGTCCAATATTAATTGAGCATAATGGCCTGTGTTGATTTCTGGGTTCTCTGTTCTGTTCCATTGGTCTATTTGTATGTT